GTGAGGGGATTCTGCAGACTGTTGAGGGTTCAGCCTCCTGATGAGTCGGTGAAACTCCGACGAAACAGTTTGTCACAACCCCTCGTTTGTTGTCCTCTTCTCTCTCTCTGCCTACGGTTTATCGGCAGTTCTGTTTGTGACGATATATATTATTATGACGATATATGTATACATAAACAGGGTTGCCGGCATTCGGGATGGGCCGAACGCCTGAACCCAAACGGCCGAACGTACGGGACCCCTTCGGAAGACGTTCGGTCGTTCGGGCCTAACGCTGACAAAAAAAAAACAAAAAAAAAACAAACAAAGTTTCAAAACATTCCGAAAACAAAATATGTTATGGAAAAAAATAAACTAAACAACATTTGTCTGGGCACTACATCTAAATTCTTTACCAAATTTGCCTTAAAAATCAAATACAGAAAATAAACACTATGATAAAAATAAGAAAAAATAAAAAAAGAATTAAAATGAGTGAGTGTGCCATCACCTTTTCGACACCGCCATCTTTGCCGATTTTTTATTATTTTTTGGCATTGCCAAATGCTCTGAAAATTTACAGATAGGTATTTAACATAATCCGTAACTCATTAAAAAAAAATTAAAAAATAATAAAAATTGTTAGGCCCCGAACTAAAGTAAAAACAAAAAGTGAAAAGTGAAAAAAAACAAAATAGTGAGTGGGCACGCACGTTTTGACACCCCCATCTTTTACGATTTTTAATGTTTGTTTGGCTTAGCATAATGGCTTCAAAATTTGTAGGCGTGTAGGTTACATCATAGAGAACTCACAAAAACAAATTCAGAAAAAAAATATATATATTTTTAGGCCCCCAAACATTTTTTTGGTGGGGGTCGAACCTGAAGGTGTTCGGCTCCCGAACGGGACCCCGAACACCAGAACGTTCGGGGGCCAGCCCGGGGGTCCCCGAACGTTCGGTCAGGTAACCCTGTATATATATCGTATATATACAGAGTTATCAGCGTTCGGGACGGGTCAAACACGCAACCGTTTCGGCACCCTCTCTCGACGCGTTTGGTCGAACGTGGACAAAAAATAAAAGAAAAAAAAGTTATGCGGAAGAATCAACTAAACAACATTTACCTCGACCTTACATCCAAATTTTTTACCAAATTATAAAACAAAATCAAATACTAAAACTAAATAATAATAATAATAAAAATGATAAAAAATCAAACGAGAATGAAATTATTAAGTGGGGGAGCACGTTTTTGACACCGCCATCTTTGGCGATTTTTTATTTTTTTGGGGCTGTGACAAATGCCATGAAAACTTATATATGTGTATCTTACATAATAAATAATTTACAAATAAAGTTTGAAAAAATAATAATTTTTTCATACCCCGAAATAAATAAAAAATAAAAAGCAAAAATAAATAAATAAAATTAGTGAGTGGGCAAGCAAGTTTTGACACCACATCTTTGCCGATTTTTCATTTTTTTGTGTTCAACAGAATGGCTTCAAACTTAAGAGGGAGATACCTTACTTCACAAAGAACTCAAAAAACAAAATTCAAAAAAACATAATAATATTTAGGTGTCAAAATAGTTTTTTGCGGGGTCTGAACCCCTTTAGGTTCGGGCCCCGTACGGAGACCCGAACGCCCAAACGTTCGGGGGTCAGCTTAGGACCCTCCGTACGTTCGGCCTGGTAACCCTGTATGTATATATCCAACAACCTTTCATACGGTATTCATTTGGGCAAGAACTCGGTAGGCCCAACCCATTTCGGTTCACATATAATCAAATAGTAGCGGTAACTATTTAATTTACTTGGTTGTAGGTAACTAATCACTCTCACCGTCACGTGTGAGACTTGTCCAACAACCTTTCATATGTTCAATCAACCTTACCAATTACTTAATACTCTCAATATATATTTGCAAATACAATCAGATAAATGTCCTTTGTTAACAAGGTGAATCCTTTCTATTCACGTTTTCAAACCATCCTCAAATTGACATTTACCAGTTTAACAATTTGGTCAATCCTCTCGTAACCAATTTTGATTTATAGATTAATCAATTATATTGCATATGCAAATAAAAAAAACGCATTTTGCCTATAGGGTTAATATTTAGATGTGGGTATAAAAATTTGTGAAGATTGAGTCGACAAACTAACCTATTAGAAAAAAAAAAAAAAAATTATATAGTATTACTTAGTTTTTCTCGAACCACCCTTAACATAGTACGAAAAACATGTAACATACAGAAAAGTTAACAAAGTCTCAATATTTTGACTATTATATAAAGTTAAATTGACAGAAATAAAAAGGTACACCGAAATATAATAATTTTTTGACATTATTTCCTATAGAGA